TTTGGGGGGGGGGGGGGGGGGTCAGGAGGGTGTGTGGGAGGAAGGGAGAGGAGGGGAGGCGGCGAGTGGGAGGCGAAGAGGGGTGTGGGACGAGGGTGGGGCGAGCAGGCGTGGGGGGTGTGGCACCGAGCCAGCGAGGACATACGCCGGCTTGACCTCGACCTACCAGGGAGGGAAAAAAGTCCTCGAGGGAAAGTTAGCGAGGACGTGCGCGTCGTGCGGTGTAGAAGGGACCGTGTCGCCATTGGACGGGTCGACGCCATTGGAGAGAACCTGTAGCAATAAGAATAAAAAATGGTGAAAGTACTCGGGAGCAATAGCGGCGGACGCCTTTCGAGAGGACCCAGGCGCTGGCTGGGTCCTGGAGCACGACCCGCTCGCCGCTCGGCTTCGTGCGGAGGAGGTAGGTGTACGCGGTCGTCTTCAATCTGGTCAGAGACTCGCGCCTACGTATCTCCCCGTCGCCGAAGGTCCTCGATTCGTAGCCGACGATCACCTCGATCTGCGAGTCGGCCTTGTAGACGCACACGGCCTCGTTGAAGTTGACTTCAACGGTGCGGCTGCTGGGCGTCGCCATGAGGAAGGATCTGCGCGACGAACGGGCAGGCGCCTAGAAGACGCCTCATTCAACGTAGGATTCCTAATCTACAATCAACGTAATAAAAAAATTTAGCGTGTTGACCGGCCGGGTTGCTGCGTGTACGTTGTATTTATTTATTTATTGCTGCGCAAAGATGACTCCAAGGAGGACGAACCAGTGGAAATCCAGTTGTCAGATGTCACGATGCATCCGAAGGGGACCCCAGCGCAAATCTCGCGCTGCGCTAGGCTCAGAGCGAGTTCGCGCTGCGCTAGGCTCAGACGGCGTGCGTGGGCCGCCGGGGTGAGGACCCCACCGACACCGCTCCTTCGCGGTTCACGCATCGCCTTCGGGAGGTCAGGCTCGGCAAGCTTGTCGGTCGGGCTCTAGAAGCTGGGGCCGGTCCCGTAGGCCGTCCGTAGCCGAGAGAGCCCCCGCCCCCCACGGCCTTGTCTGACAAAGGTAGGAATGACAGGGAGTCGGGCTGCCAGCGCACCACCCTCCATGGAGCCATGAAGTCCACCGCCTTGCAGCACGTCTGCGCAGTCCACGCCAGCGTCCGCCGGTCCCCGCCCCCATACCACGTGGGGGCCCACATCGTCGGTGCGCCGGACCCCCGCCCCCCCGTGCCGCCCGCCACGAATGCAAGCCGCCTCAGCGCCTCGGTGTCCACCGTCCTGGCCACGTCGTCCCTCCTTGGCGCGAAGAGGAGCACTCTGACATGCCGAGGGTTCATTAGTCGGGCGTGGCGGCGGAGCACTCCCGGTTGGCGGCATCTCGGCGGGCGGAGGGGGTCCTCTTCACCCCCTGCCCAAGCGTGGGTGTTCGCGTAAGCCGACTCCGTAGCGTTGGTCCATCCCGCCGCGTGTCCAAAGGCGATTGTCCCGGCCGGGAAGAAGAGCACCTCGTCCACTGCCGCCCCGTTACTGCTCAGGTTCTGATAGGCGCGACGGGACTTCTGCTCCCCCTCCTGCGGCGCTTCCTGAACAACCATCACCACCCGTCCGCCCGCCTCCGCTGTGGCCACCGCCTTCTTGTACACTCTGGTGAGGGCTCCTCGCCCGTGTTCGTTGACCGTGACCAAGACGTTGTGCGGCCACGGTTGCGACTCCCATCTGTCCGCGGCGACTTCATCCACCTCCACCCCCCACTCCCCCCCCGACCACGCCCCCCCCACCACTCTGGGTGCGGTCTCGAAGAGCGTCGACATGGTGAGCGCCGAAGTGAGCGCCTCGCCTCTCAATCCGAACGCGTCTCTCAGCCACGCCCGCAGCTCTGGGACGATCTGTGCCACGATCCGCAGCGGGCCACGACCCCGTTCTCGGACCGCCTCGGAGCACACCCGGACAGCCGCGGCGGGCAACCGCTGCGCCCCGAGCCACGTTCGACTCGCCCACACCGCAGCTAGGCACGTCGCTCTCTCCGGAGTCATGCCGTGGCACAGCCCCCCCGTGTTGACAGTCAGAGCCGTGGGATCCTTGCCCACTTCAAAGGCATGGAGCTGGCGCCACACCCCCGCTCCCCGTCTCCCAGCCCGAGCCGCCCCGCCATCCACCGGGAGCCCGGGGTCCGTATCCGATTCCCCATTCCCAGCCCGCCGGGCAGCCTCTGTGGGCGGATTTTGATTAAAGTAGAACGGTCCCTTGTGTCGCTGGTGCGCTTGGTCCTTCTTTGAAGCTATTTACATACCACCTCACGGCGGTCACGCTGGATGGAAGTGGCGAATCGATGCGAGCGCGCCGCGTGCTACGCGCGGCGCGCTCATATCGACTTGGAGTCCAATGCGCGCAGCGGGTAGCACCTCGGGAGCTCGCTCTACCCGGGATGCGGAGAACTGCCCACAGGAGCGAGAATGTTCGCCGGCGAGGATCTATCTGCCGCGTCTGGGTATCATTAGGAATAATCGCCACAGCACTAGCGCTACGAGCGTCATGCATGAATGGTCCCATCACATCTCCCAGGAGTTCTACTGGCTGCGAAGCTGCACCCGCCAGCATCTGCCAGCGAGCGAGGCCACCGAGCGAGCGTGGATCTATGGCCATCGCCCGACCCGTAGCCCCAGCCACAGCCGCAGCCACAGCCACAGTCGCAGCTGTGCAGCCGCAGCCACGCCGGCCGACGTTCCCGCGGAGGCGGATAGTCTCACGCCTCCCGGAGCTTCTGCTGCAGCTCCTCGCCAGCGCGCGCGGAGACGGTGGTGTTGCCCGCCGCGTAGAAGGGCGACATGGTGTCGAGCGCGCCGCCCGCGAGGGAGAGGCCGAGGCCGAGAGCGAGGCCTGCGAGGGAGGAAAAAAGGGGTGGTCCCCGAGGGATAGAGAAGGGGCGGAGCAGGGGAGAAGATTCCATCTTGGAGAGAGGGGGTGTGGGGCGCGCGCCAATCTCGCGGATCGCCACCGGGAGGAGCTGGAAGAAGAAGTCGTCGTCAAGCGTGCCGTCGGCGCGCTGCGGGTGGGGGAGGTCGGCCAGCTCCCAGCGCTCCGCCTCGTCAAAGGCGATGTGCACCAGAGGGAACGAGCCTTCCGAGGCCGCCTGTGGGCGGGCGGGACGGGCATGGGAGAGGCGCAAGTGGGGAGGCGGCGAGAGGCGGCGGGAGGGGCAGTATCTAGATAGTGGAGCTTTGGGCCAATCGAGAGAGTGAACGAGTGGCGCGTCCTGCTCTATCTAGCGGAGGTGGACGCGTGCGATCCGCGCGCACCGTCGTCTGCGCGAGCTTGCCTCCCGGCCCGTCGCGCGCCTCGTGGGCGGTGGCGAGCTCGGCGAAGGAGAGGAGGATGTGCGCGTCGGCCTCCTCCGCGGTGTACTCGAAGGAGATGGTCGGGAGGGACTCCAGGGCGGGCGCCGGTAACGGGTCGGTCGACGAGCCAGCTCCGGGGTCAATAGACGAGGACGGGCGGCAGGCCTTGCTCCACGCACCAAAGGCGCGCTCGAGCTCGGCCTGCGCGGCGTCCATCCACTCGTCCAGCCCCTCGCCCGGCTCGTCGTCGCGCCGCAGGGTCCACCTGACGGGCTGCGCCTTGGCGGCAACGAGGAGCCGCTGGACCACCTCCGTGTAGCGCTCGTCCGCCTGCGGCGCCGCCGAGAGGGCGGCGCGCGCCAGCAGCAGCGCCGCCTTGGTCTTTGGCCCGGCGACGCCGTCCTCCGGGAGCGCCGCGGCGGCCTGCGCCGCCTTGATAGCGTCCGCCGTCGCCTTGCCAACGACACCGTCGACCTTGAGGCTGGTCGTGAAGACGGCGTTGAGGAGCATTTGCAGCGCCACCACCTCCTCCTTGTGGATCTCGATCTCGTTCCTCAACTCGGCGATCGCCGTGTCGCTCAGTCCCTCGATCGACACCGGCTCGCTGCCCTCCGACACGTCCACCTGAGAGGCGCGGCGCGGCGAGGCGAGGCGAGGTAAGGCGTCTCTGCACGCTGGTGAGGGGCAGGGGTGGGCTGTCCTTGACTCCACGTCCCCAAAGAGCGGAGCCCGGTGCAAGAGGGAGAGAGCGGCGAGCGAGAGTGCGAATGACTCTGAGTGTCGCGCCGCTACGTCCCACACCTCGAAGGAGAGCGTCGGCGAGCTCAGCTCGGGCGGCGGCACGCCCGCCTGCTCGAGCGTCATGGCGGTCTGCGTGGCGATGTCGAAGGCGAGCGCGTGCAGCACCGCGCGCGCGCGAGGGATGCACGCCTCCTTGAGCGCCTCCGTCACGTCCACCTCCGCCGAGCAGGTTGGCGAGTTGAGCACGCAGTTGTCGCAGCGGACGGTGCCCTCCGTCGGGAGGACAAAGAGCGACGTGATGCCTACACACAGGACGCGCCGTGGCCTCAGGTGGCGCGGCCCAGCGGCCGTTTGGGGGGGGGGGGGAGGTGGGGCGGCGCCGGCGAAGCCCGGCAGCGCCTTGAGGTCGGCAGGCGTCGCCGACTCGAGGTCGGGGGGCGGCTGCCACGACGGCTGCTCCTTCTTCGGGCTCCCGACGAAGGGGAGGAAGCTGAGGAGGCCGCCCTCGTCGTCGCCGTCGCCGGCGTCGGAGACGTACACGTACAGCGCCTTGGAGCCGTCCACGTTGACCTTCGGCACGTCGTTGAAGTGGGCGAGCACCGGCAGGTCGCGCGCGCGCCGCCGCCGGCCGCCGCCGACCTGGGCGAGGGACGCGTAGGTGTAGCCCATCGCCTCCGTGTTGAAGGTGTCGTCGCCGGTCCACTTGCCGCGCATCACCTCGCGCGAGTGGGCGTGGGAGTAGAACGGCTCGTACCTGTGTAGAGCCGGGGACGGGGTGAGGCAAGGGGACGGCCTTGCGCTAGGGGGGGCGATGGCGAGCTGCGGTGGGGGTGGGCTCTCACCCGTGTGTCTGCCCCTGGGGGAAGGCGGCGGCGGTGCCCGCGCGGCGCGCGTTGCGGCGGAACTCCTTTTGCATCCTCGCGTGCCTGAGTTTGCATCAGGCGTGGATGAGTACGCACTCGCGCGCCGGCGCGGGCGTGCCTCCGTGTGTGCCCGCGGATGGCGAGGAAGGACTCGTACACGCGGTCGACGTTGCAGTGGTGCAGCCAGAAGATCGGGTGGAAGGCGGCCGTCGGTATCAAGCCAATCATCTCTGTGCCCGGCTTCCTGCGGCCGAGGCTCCCCAGAGCCACGTGCGCCGACCCGTGCGGGCGCGCATCGAGGGCGAGGCTTGAGGCCCTAAGGAGTGGTGCGCCGTCCCTGACTCCCTCTGGTCAGGCGAGGGGCGTCGAGGGCGAGAGGCTGGCGCTCTCCTGTGCTGGTGCTGAAGGAGGTACTTCCTCTGCGAGCCGGCAATGTCGTAGCCCCGGTGGCCGAGGTTCCACTCGAGCTCGCGGTCGAGCTCGTGGGTCCAGACCTGCGCAGTGGAGCGAGGCGAGACTGGAGGGGCGAAGTTAGGGGAGGGGGGGGGGGGGGTGCGGCGTGCCATGGTTTTGTAGAACGGAGTGCCGTCGGGCTCGATCGCCTTGATCGGGTGGCCCCCGCGGGTGAGCGGGAGGAAGTCGTCCGGGAAGAGGCCCTGAGGGGAGGCGAGGGAGAGGTCGGCCCTCTCCACACGACGTGTGCTCCCACCCATGTGACAGACCTGCCCTTGCGAGCCAATCGTCTGTGCCATCAGCTTTTGCGCCAGCATGGGCAGCATCATCTTGCCCTCCGGCTTGATCGACCAGTCCCAGTAGGGAAGGCCGATGTTGCCGTCGCCGCCGAGGTCGATGTCGGCGCAGCGCAGCGTCTGCTCAAAGTCGAGCATGTACACGCGGTGCCAGTTCGGGAAGCACTCGCCGCCATGGACGCAAAGCGGGTGCTTCCCGTCCTTCATGTGGCTGAGGTACGTTTGGCTGCGAGGCGAGGGGCGGCGTGGTGTCATCACGACAGCAGAGGAGGGCATGCGGAGGCGGAGGCGCTGGCGGAGGAGGTGTGGGCGGTGATGGCGAGGGTGGAGGCGGCGAGGGCGGCGGCGGCGGCGGCGGCGGCGGTGGCGGCGATAGTGGAGAGGGAGTGAGAAAACGCTCACCGAGCTTGCGACCCGCCGTGGATGAGCGCGAGCCGAAAGTATTGCGAGCTACCCGGCACGCCGTCCTCGCTCTCCATCATGCGCAGCCACGCCTTGACGATGCGGTCCTCCTCGGCTGAAGTCAGCTCGTGAGCACTCTGGCGCACCACTGGCCCCCCCAGCTCTCGCTCGTACCACTTTTTGGCATGCTTCGTTGGGAAGAACGGCGACTTGGGGGGGGGCGCTGGCGGCGCGGGTGCAGCATTGGAGGGACCCGGCTCGGCGGGGGGCACGGCGGGGGGCACGGCGGTGGGCACGGCGAGACCTCTTTCCCACGGCGGGGGGCACGGCGGTGGGCACACGGGTCGCTTTTGGCGTAGGGCCGGCCGGCAGCCCGGCAGGCAGGGGATGCACGGGTCGGGGGGGCACGGGTCGGGGGGGCACGGGTCGGGGGGGCACGGCGGGGGGCACGGCTTGGGGCACGGCGGGGGGCACACGGGGCAAGGCTGCGGGCAGCACGGTAGCCAGGAAGGGCAGCGCACCCAAATCACGATCACCACTATTGCGACGACGAAAGCCAGAACAATGACAACGCCAGCGACGATGAAGACGGCGATGAGAGGGCCTTCATTCAGCCGGCGAGGGCCAAGACTGATCGGCTGCGTCGGCTTGGTCCGATCGGCCGCGCTTGACAGAAAGCCGAAGAGAGGCGGCGGCGGAGCCGCGAGTGGAGGCAGCCTGGTCGGCGGCAGCGACGGCGGGAGCGGCGGCGGCGACGGCGTGGGAGGCCGAGGCGGAGACGCGGGCGGAGACGGAGGCAGCGGCGGCGGCGCCGGCGGTGACGGCGGTGGAGCAGGCGACAGGTCGGCCTCGAGCGCCCTTTTCACGGCGGCGGCAGCCCCCGCCTCCTCGGCCGCCTCCTCGGCCGCCCTGCCCTTCTCCAGCGCGTCAGCGGCAGCCTCTCCCGTCGGTTCAGCCGTTGCAATTCTGGCGACGAGGCGGCGCAGCTCGGCCGACTTGACGGGCCGCATCTCGGCCTCGGCCTTGCGCGTGCCCGCGGGAGATTGGTGGCCGAGGCCGATCAACAGCAGCGCCGCTGCAGCGAACAGCAGAGCGGCGGCGCGGAGGAATCTCGTGGCAATCATGTGTCGCCATTGAGGCGGTCGTTCTTGCGGCGACTGTCTTTCATCGAGATCTCGCGGCATTCGGTGTGAATAGGACGTATTTTCTTTTGGCCCCCGCCCCCGGTGTGTGTGTGTGTGAGGCCTCCGGCTGTTTGCGGCGGGCGGCTTGCTGCTCGCGGCGATGGCGAAAAACTCGTCTCGCCACACGCCAAGGGCTTATGCTCTGGCGAGACGTGAGGCGCATGCGCCCAGGAGGGGAGGGGGCATGTGTAACGACACTGCTAGAGATGCCTTTCGGGGCCCAGAGATAAAACTTCTGTGATGCCATGCGTGACCTAGTAGTGTCCCCAGCTATGGGCGTGTCCACGTTGGAGCCAGGTGTGGTGTGGGCGCGAGAATAGCTCCGCCGTTCATGGAGGCAACCGATGCGAGTCGACTGGTGTGTGTCGTCGTGGTTTCGTATGAAGAATACTCACTCACACCGCCCCCGGGAATGTGTTTTTGTGTGAAGAACCTGTTTTGCTCCGTGGTCTTCCGCCGCCGAAGCTGGGTCCTTCCCGCCCCCCCGCCTCTCAAACACAAAAATCTCTCTCTCTACATGCGCACTCGTCCAACCGGGGACCGCAGACTCGTTCTGCGCGCCAACGGCTGGTGACGCTGTGTTGCCCTTGAGCTAGTCCTTCCCCGGTCGCCTAGCCTCTGCGCTGTCTGGCGGAACGCCTGTATGCCATGCGCGCGGACCACGCTTGCGTGGATACGTGGCTGGCAGGCTGACCCGTGTGCGGCAGAAGACGCCCAATCTTGCACAAGTGCAAGAACCATGCGCTCCCCATGGACGGTCGAGTTCCGCTGCCTGGACTGCCTCCGGCGAGCTCCGGCGAGCTGTAGAGTCTAGAGACAGTGGGAAAGGGACCTCCACGGAAAAACCAAATCCGATTTCTTTAGTACGAAATTCTTTTCCTTTTAGCGGTGGGACGTGTTGCCAATGTCTCGTTTGCGCCCAAGTCCGTGTGCAGGTCGGGATGGCTGCTGCGCGTAGATGCCAATCTGGTCGTCCGAATGTCTCGCCGCGCGCTCGTAGCCCTCCGCAAGCCGGTCCAGCTCGTCGCTCTCCACAACCTCGACCATGCCGCGCCCCAGCAAGCTCAGGAAGTTGTTGGTGTCTTTGGTGTGGGTTACGCACCGTTGCTTCCCCTTGAGGCCAAGGTAAGGGCAGACATTGAGGCGGCAGCGAACGGTTGAGCACGAGAATAGTGAAGGCAGCCTGGTCCTGCACATGTGGAAAGCAGAAGGCGGTGGGCTCAGCCACTGCCATGCCCAGCCAGTCCCAGACCAGCAGGCGGTTCGACGGCGTATTCTCGAGCAGGATGTTTGCGTTCAGCACCAGCGGCCGGCTGAGCAGCGCGCTCGCATTCGGGATGAGGTCGGCGTACGAGGCCAGCGCGGGCCCAAACGGCAGCGCGCCGTTGTGCGTATACAGGTCGTGGGAGCAGTCGCTGCCGGAGCAGGTGACGAGCCCGTAAGCGGAGCCAATCGCCAGCGAACGCCGGCCGCGGAGAGAGTGCTGGGCCCACCACGCGGTGCTGGTCCAGCGGCGGCCCGGTACGGGCAGAGGAGCGGTCGGGCGCGTCCTCGAGCCGGAGAGCATCGCGATCGCGTCCCGCAAGTGGGGTGTCGACGGGCCCCCGGTGGCGACGGGGGTGCTCTCCGGCCGCGGCGGCCGAAAACGGGGGTCTATGTTACGGTATGTTAATGAAGTGATGCACTTGATGCAAGGGTGCCATTGTGCTCTACTACGAAAGTTGTGTAAGATGACCAAGTCTCAGACACTGAATCCTTAGCGGAGCTGAGTTCTGACGGTGTGAACACGAGCAACCGGAGAGACGACCGGGACCGGGCCGCACGCCGGGAGTGCCCCGACTAGCAGTGACGGGCGCGGACGAGCGAATGAGAGGTCGCTATCTGTGGGAGATGTGTTATTAGAGACTAGGGCTGCCTATCTCTCATTGAAAGAAACCTCTCATTCGCTCGTCCGCACCCGTCACCGCTCACAGAGTGCTCCGCGTGCCGCACTGGCCGCCGCCGGCCGCCGGCCGCTCACGGTAACGGAACAGTGTTACTACTCCGCAACGTTGAGCTGGATCAAACTGAAGAGTGCTCCTGAAAGCCCTCTCTGGACTCTGCCACACAGTAGCAGCTCACGACTAGCAGCTGGTTTGGCTGTATTTGTAGCCATTTTTAGGCTTCAACTGGTCCCAAAATAGTAGCAACACCTCATGAAAATCAGTCAAAAAAGCCCAAAAAATCGGCGCCTGCGGCGGACCTCCTGGGGCTGCAGCCCCAGACCCCCTTGACTGGGGGGACCCCCCCCAAGAGCACCCCCGTCGCCCCCGGGGGGCCGTCGACACCCCAGGCAAAAAGCCTCCGGCGGGCCTCCGGCGGACGCGTAGCGGCGTGGCGCTGCGCGCCGGCGCTCCGGCGCCCGCGGAAACAGCCGGGGTGTGTCGGACGGGGAGTCCGGCGGGCCTGCGGCGCGGGGCGCTGCGCGCGGCAAGCTTGCCGGGATGTGTCGGCCGGGGAGCCTCCGGCGGACGCCTGGCGGCGTGGCGCTGCGCGCCGGCGCTGCGCGCCATTCGAACGAGGCTCGACTGCATCTTCGCCGCATCTAATTCGTATATTTTGCGCCCCTTAGAGCTCGCGGAGGAGCAAAGGGCGCCCGATTAGCGCTGCGCGCGGCCGGGCAAAAATTCGTGGCCTCCCCCGCCGTCTCCTCCCTCACCGCCACGCCCTCCCCCCCCACCACGGGTACCAGGAAGGAAGTCCACTGGACACCAGCGCGCGACGCGGACGAACCGCTCAATATGGCCGGCAGCTCGTGCTGTCGGCGGGGTTGGTTGGGGAGAACCGGCACGGAGGGGCCCCAAAGCCCCCCCCCGGGGGGGGCGGGGGCCAAAAGAAAATACGAGTGTGCGACTGCAACGACGGACCGTTCGCAAGAGACCATTGGGTTTGTACTATTAACAACGAAGGCGCTCTCAAAGAAAATACGAGGAGGTGGGAATGGGCGGTCGGCGTTGGGGTAGAGCCGCAGGCGCGTACGGGGTAGCCGTCACTCTCCTGCCTCAAAAGGGCGGGGCTGTCCCGGAAAGTGAGAAACGCCGGGCAGCGTGGCGCATTACTGAACCCTCCCATACGTGCTTGTGCTCCTCCTTTGCTGTCCCATCTCCTCATCTCTTTCCCGCCTGGGCGGGGCGGCGGGCGGGCGCGCGGTGCGGCATGGCGTGTGCGTGTGCGCGACTGCAACGAAGGACCGCTCGCAGAGGACCATTGGGTTCAAACAAAAGAAATACCTGCAATTCCCACACCGACGGCGAGATCTCCATCAAAGACAGTCGCCTCTCAAGACATGATTGCCACGAGATTCCTCCGCGCCGCCGCTCTGCTGTTCGCTGCAGCGGCGCTGCTGTTGATCGGCCTCGGCCACCAATCTCCCGCGGGCACGCGCAAGGCCGAGGCCGAGATGCGGCCCGTCAAGTCGGCCGAGCTGCGCCGCCTCGTCGCCAGAATCGCAACGGCTGAACCGACGGGAGAGGCTGCCGCTGACGCGCTGGAGAAGGGCAGGGCGGCCGAGGAGGCGGCCGGGGAGGCGGGGGCTGCCGCCGCCGTGAAAAGGGCGCTCGCGGCCGACCTGTCGCCTGCTTCACCGCCGTCACCGCCGGCGCCGCCGCCGCTGCCTCCGTCTCCGCCCGCGTTTCCGTCTCCGTCTCCCACGCCGTCGCCGCCGCCGCTCCCGCCGTCGCTGCCGCCTTCATGCGCCTGCCAGTCAGATCTAACCGGAAGGGCGTGCCGAGACGAAAATTCCCGGGGGTGCCTGCCTGACGGTCTGTACCTCTCATTCAACGACGCCCCCGCTATCGTCAACAACTTGGCGGGCTTCCCTGGAAGCGACGTCGTAAGGGACAACAACTGCCAGAGTGCAACGGTGCCGCCGCGCCCTCCGCCGCACCTCCGCCTCCGCCACGCACACCTTGCCCCACTACCTGCCTCCCCGCCCCACCAGCCCCCCCCTCCACCCCATCCGCCACACACCTTGCCCCACCAGCCTCACTTGCCGACCTCCCGCTACCCGCCACCAGTTTCTTGGCAGAGACGAAAGTGCAAATCGTTGCGGCGTCGGCATGATTGACGTGCAAACGAACAGCACCGGTTACAAAACGGTTTGCGGCGAAAGTGTGGCCCGCACCCCGGTTTGCGGCGACATGTACCCGGAGGCGCCGTACAGCTGGCCCGAGACCTCGAGCATTACGGGGCCCTACTCCGAGACTGATGGCAACAACAAACTCTGGGAGTTCTACATCGATCTCAACAACTGCAGTGCGCCTCTCCCAGCTTGCCCTCTCCTGCACGGCGCCCCGTGCGGCGAGCGGTGCCCAAACACCTCACGCCGCCGGCCGTCACCCCCCGCGCGCAGAGTGCGACCCTGACTCGGAGGGAGACAGGATGCGAAACGAGACGGATCCCAAGAAGAAGGTGCTCCGCTACGAGGGGATCGGCGAGGTGACGACTTCCCCCCTTCCTCCGCCGACAACCCCCCCCCCCCCTCCCGCGCGCGAATCCCGTCCCTCTACCCCCCGCAGTACATCCAGAACGGCACAGTCCTCCTACCCGAGGGCTTCACCGAGGCCGACAACGTCACCCTCGACCTGGTCATCACAAACGCCACCGAGTACCGGCCGTGGAACTCGGCCCAGAATGGCAGGAACCGCCCCGTCGACGAGGACATTTGGCAGAAGGGCCAGCCCTTCGGCGAGTTCGCCACCCTCAACCTCGCCGCCAATACGTCCACCATCTTCGAGTTCGAGTTCGTCCTGAAGGTGCCGTGCGACAGCCCGAATGCGAACCAGACCATCTGCGCAGACCCGAACCGTGCCACCATCTTCGAGAAGGGGGCCTTGAAGGGCCAGAAAACCTACGACATTTCTTTGGGTGACTACGCCGCCCGCTCCCTCTCGCCGGAGTTCGACTTTTGCTTCTTCGACTTCGACACCGGCTTCAACGGCTTCATGGCCGAGACGATCACGGCGTTCGACGTGTCGGACTACTTCACACACAGCGACCCTGGGATCCGCGCCAACTCGGTTGAACAGATTGCAAGCCTCCCCTTCAACCTCTGTTCGAACGTGCGCTGCCTCGGCTCCCGCCCGCAGCCCCGCGCCCCTGTACACGCCCCCTCCCCCCAGAGCATGCGAGCTGCAGGCAGCGCAGACTGCCGGCGCGGACGCTAAATGCGCAGCCACGACCCTACACTCGCGGCCCCTACCTCACTGCTTCCACGCGCTGCCCCTCGCTCCCCCACTCACCCCAGATCTCCGCATCCGCAGATCAACACGTCGGGGGCCATCGACTTCCAGTACTACAACGGCACATCATGGCGGGATTATGTTCCCGCACCGGCGAGGCACACAATCACCCGTACCGCCACACTCTGACAATTCGGGCAGCATTTCTGAGGTGGACGATCTCGGCCTCATGCTGACCGACAAGACGGGCGCGCTTTCTCTCGCGGGGTCAAAGAGTCTGACTGTGAGACCCCCGGATTTTTTGTTGGGTTTGGCCCCCCCCACCCCCGGGTTTTTGGGGGGCGCCCCTTAAAAAAAAGGGGGGGGGGGCTTTTAGCAACTTCCCCCGAAAAAAAAATTTTTTTTTGCCCCCCCTGTGGGGGGGGGGATTTTCCCCCCCCCCCCCCCCCCCCGGCCCACATTGTAGGTTGGGCACCCAAGGCATTAAACGTTCCGCCCCATTAAGACACCCCCCACCCCACCCCACCCCGGGGGGGGCCCCATTCCCCCCCACACACCCCAAACACCCCACATTCCAAAACCCTAAACCAAATAAATTCCCCCAGGCCCCAAAACAAATACAAAAAACACCCCCCCCCCCCCCCCCCCTCAGCTGGCCAAGCCCGGAGAGTCGCCCGCAGTGGTTCTGCTCGGAGGCCCTAATCGCGATAGCGTCGAGGTAAGGTGCAATAGCGTCCAGAACCCCGACTTCCCGGATGAGACAATCAACTACGAGCGGAACAACAAACGGGAGACTTTCAACTCCGCCTGGAAAGCGGGTGTGTCCAACAACGGCAACCCATTCGAGAACATCACCTGCACTCCCGGCGAGAACTTCACCGCGTCGGGCATCTACGACAACTCGTCAGGGACCTCTGTACGAACTGGAGTTGGCCAGGTCATCAACAGTGACGGCACCACACCACAGGCCAAGCTCTGGTACATGCCATTCCGCTGGACAATGCCCAAGTTCGCGTGCTTCGAGTACGTGAACACCTCGGGCTTTTACCTAATGTACTCGATCACGGAGAATGGCAACTCGGTCATTTATGATTCGGGGCGAAACTTTCTCTTCTCCGCCTTCAATCCGCGACAAACATATCCTCCGCCGCCGCCGCCGCCTACGCCGCCGCCCTCGCCTCCTCCGCCGTCGCCGCCGCCCTCTCCGCCGCCCTCGCCGCCTCCGCCGTCGCCGCCATCGCCGCCTTCCTCGCCGACGCCGCCGAGCCCGCCTCCCTCGCCGCCTCCCTCGCCGCCGCCGCCGAGCCCGCCTCCCTCGCCGCCTCCCTCGCCGCCGCCGCCGAGCCCGCCTCCCTCGCCGCCTCCCTCGCCGCCGCCGCCCTCTCCGCCTCCCTCGCCGCCTCCCTCGCCGCCGCCGCCGAGCCCGCCTCCCTCGCCGCCTCCCTCGCCGCCGCCGCCGAGCCCGCCTCCCTCGCCGCCTCCCTCGCCGCCGCCGCCGAGCCCGCCTCCCTCGCCGCCTCCCTCGCCGCCGCCGCCGAGCCCGCCTCCCTCGCCGCCTCCCTCGCCTCCGCCGCCGAGCCCGCCTCCCTCGCCGCCTCCCTCGCCGCCGCCGCCCTCTCCGCCTCCCTCGCCGCCTCCCTCGCCGCCGCCGCCGAGCCCGCCTCCCTCGCCGCCTCCCTCGCCGCCGCCGCCGAGCCCGCCTCCCTCGCCGCCTCCCTCGCCGCCGCCGCCGAGCCCGCCTCCCTCGCCGCCTCCCTCGCCGCCGCCGCCCTCTCCGCCTCCCTCGCCGCCTCCCTCGCCGCCGCCGCCCTCTCCGCCTCCCTCGCCGCCTCCCTCGCCGCCGCCGCCGAGCCCGCCTCCCTCGCCGCCTCCCTCGCCGCCGCCGCCCTCTCCGCCTCCCTCGCCGCCTCCCTCGCCGCCGCCGCCCTCTCCGCCTCCCTCGCCGCCTCCCTCGCCGCCGCCGCCGAGCCCGCCTCCCTCGCCGCCTCCCTCGCCTCCGCCGCCGAGCCCGCCTCCCTCGCCGCCTCCCTCGCCTCCGCCGCCGAGCCCGCCTCCCTCGCCGCCTCCCTCGCCGCCGCCGCCCTCTCCGCCTCCCTCGCCGCCTCCCTCGCCGCCGCCGCCCTCTCCGCCTCCCTCGCCGCCTCCCTCGCCGCCACCGCCCTCTCCGCCTCCCTCGCCGCCTCCCTCGCCTCCGCCGCCGAGCCCGCCTCCCTCGCCGCCTCCCTCGCCGCCGCCGCCCTCTCCGCCTCCCTCGCCGCCTCCCTCGCCGCCGCCGCCCTCTCCGCCTCCCTCGCCGCCTCCCTCGCCTCCGCCGCCCTCTCCGCCTCCCTCGCCGCCTCCCTCGCCTCCGCCGCCGAGCCCGCCTCCCTCGCCGCCTCCCTCGCCTCCGCCGCCGAGCCCGCCTCCCTCGCCGCCTCCCTCGCCGCCGCCGCCCTCTCCGCCTCCCTCGCCGCCTCCCTCGCCGCCGCCGCCCTCTCCGCCTCCCTCGCCGCCTCCCTCACCGCCGCCGCCGAGCCCGCCTCCCTCGCCGCCTCCCTCGCCTCCGCCGCCGAGCCCGCCTCCCTCGCCGCCTCCCTCGCCGCCGCCGCCGAGCCCGCCTCCCTCGCCGCCTCCCTCGCCGCCGCCGCCCTCTCCGCCTCCCTCGCCGCCTCCCTCGCCGCCGCCGCCGAGCCCGCCTCCCTCGCCGCCTCCCTCGCCGCCGCCGCCGACTCCGCCTCCCTCGCCGCCTCCCTCGCCGCCGCCGCCGAGCCCGCCTCCCTCGCCGCCTCCCTCGCCGCCGCCGCCGACTCCGCCTCCCTCGCCGCCTCCCTCGCCGCCGCCGCCGACTCCGCCTCCCTCGCCGCCTCCCTCGCCGCCGCCGCCGAGTCCGCCTCCCTCGCCGCCTCCCTCGCCGCCGCCGCCGACTCCGCCTCCCTCGCCGCCTCCCTCGCCGCCGCCGCCGAGCCCGCCTCCCTCGCCGCCTCCCTCGCCGCCGCCGCCCTCTCCGCCTCCCTCGCCGCCTCCCTCGCCGCCGCCGCCCTCTCCGCCTCCCTCGCCGCCTCCCTCGCCGCCGCCGCCGAGCCCGCCTCCCTCGCCGCCTCCCTCGCCGCCGCCGCCGAGCCCGCCTCCCTCGCCGCCTCCCTCGCCGCCGCCGCCGAGCCCGCCTCCCTCGCCGCCTCCGTCGCCGCCGCCGCCCTCTCCGCCTCCCTCGCCGCCTCCCTCGCCTCCGCCGCCGAGCCCGCCTCCCTCGCCGCCTCCCTCGCCGCCGCCGCCCTCTCCGCCTCCCTCGCCGCCTCCCTCGCCTCCGCCGCCGAGCCCGCCTCCCTCGCCGCCTCCCTCGCCGCCGCCGCCCTCTCCGCCTCCCTCGCCGCCTCCCTCGCCGCCGCCGCCCTCTCCGCCTCCCTCGCCGCCTCCCTCGCCGCCGCCGCCGAGCCCGCCTCCCTCGCCGCCTCCCTCGCCGCCGCCGCCGAGCCCGCCTCCCTCGCCGCCTCCCTCGCCGCCGCCGCCCTCTCCGCCTCCCTCGCCGCCTCCCTCGCCTCCGCCGCCGAGCCCGCCTCCCTCGCCGCCTCCCTCGCCGCCGCCGCCGAGCCCGCCTCCCTCGCCGCCTCCCTCGCCGCCGCCGCCCTCTCCGCCTCCCTCGCCGCCTCCCTCGCCGCCGCCGCCCTCTCCGCCTCCCTCGCCGCCTCCCTCGCCGCCGCCGCCGAGCCCGCCTCCCTCGCCGCCTCCCTCACCGCCGCCGCCGAGCCCGCCTCCCTCGCCGCCTCCCTCGCCGCCGCCGCCCTCTCCGCCTCCCTCGCCGCCTCCCTCGCCGCCGCCGCCCTCTCCGCCTCCCTCGCCGCCTCCCTCGCCTCCGCCGCCGAGCCCGCCTCCCTCGCCGCCTCCCTCGCCTCCGCCGCCGAGCCCGCCTCCCTCGCCGCCTCCCTCGCCGCCGCCGCCGAGCCCGCCTCCCTCGCCGCCTCCCTCGCCGCCGCCGCCCTCTCCGCCTCCCTCGCCGCCTCCCTCGCCGCCGCCGCCGAGCCCGCCTCCCTCGCCGCCTCCCTCGCCGCCGCCGCCGAGCCCGCCTCCCTCGCCGCCTCCCTCGCCGCCGCCGCCGAGCCCGCCTCCCTCGCCGCCTCCCTCGCCGCCGCCGCCCTCTCCGCCGCCCTCGCCTCCTCCGCCCTCGCCGCCGCCGCCCTCTCCGCCGCCCTCGCCTCCTCTGCCCTCGCCGCCGCCCTCGCCGCCACCTCCGTCTCCGCCGCCGCCGAGCCCGCCTCCCTCTCCGCCGCCCTCTCCGCCGCCCTCGCCTCCGCCCTCGCCGCCGCCCTCTCCGCCGCCCTCGCCTCCTCCGCCCTCGCCGCCGCCCTCTCCACCGCCCTCTCCTCCTCCGCCCTCGCCGCCGCCCTCGCCTCCTCCGCCGTCGCCGCCGCCCTCGCCGCCACCTCTGCCGCCACCGCCTTCAGTCCCTAAGAATTACCCCTTGCCACCGGGCTCGCCGCCTCTGCCGCCCTCTCCTCCTCCGCCCTACCCGCCGCCCTTCGCGCCACCACCACCCTCCTATCCACCGCCACCGCCCTCGCCGCCGTGCGAGAACTGCTGGACCGTCATCATCATTGTTGTCGTCATTCTCGTTGTCATCATCCTGATTCTCATCATCGCCGTCGTGGTGCTCGTGATTTGCAGGCCGTGCCCCCCGCGGTGCCCCCCGCCGTGCCCCCCGCCGTGCCCCCCGCCGTGCCCCCCCGACCCGTGCCCCCCCGACCCGTGCCCCCCCGACCCGTGCCCCCCCGACCCGTGCCCCCCCGACCCGTGCATTATTGACATGGCCGGATCAACCTTGGCCTTTGTTGGGCCTTCGGTTCCCGAGCCGGGTCCCTCCAAGCCGTTTGACATGCCCGGATCGTCCATGACCTTTGTCATCTAGAAGGTATTGCCCGCAGACGCCTCCATGCGGCACACACACACACACACACACACACACCGGGCCCTCCTGCTCGGCTCCAGCGAGTAGACAAGCGTCACCTCGGGGCCGATGTGACCAAGCGCTGGTAGCCTGGTTTTACCTCACACCCATGGTCAAACAGTGTGCCGGCAGTCGCCGAGCAGTGTCGCTCACACAAGCCGCAGCACAAGTGACTGAGGGCCAGTGAGGGCGAGCCCATCGCTGTCACAGCTGTGGCAGCCGCACAGTGGGCTGTGCCATCTGCGCAGAGCGTGTGAGCAGCAGAGCGAGAGAGTTCAACCCGGGTCTTGCTGCCTTCTATCGGGTGTCAGAATGATAGAGCAGCTACCGACACGCTCCCACGTCCCAGTGTGAGCGTTTATGTTCCTTCAACCTTCTGTGAAAGGACTAAAAATGGGGCCGAAACGCGAAAGGGGGAGGTGACCTGGAGGACACCCTCTCTATCTCTCTGAGTCTCTCTCGCACACTTGCAAGAGCGCATATCAACAATTGTCAATTCTGCGCTGCATGGGGCAGCATTGCCCCAGTGGTACCGCCGGGCGCTTGCTCTGCCTTCGGAGGCTTTACGCTTCCTTGGCCGTGAGGAGAAGCCACCTTGAGGGCGACGCAGGCAGCAAGGCAAGCGACGGCGGCGGCGGAGATCACGAAGGAGGCACTGTCATCGCCTCCGTCGAGGATGGCCGGGGGTGCGCTAGGCGGGTCCGGCGGCGGGTGCGGCGGCGGCGACGGCGGCGGCGGAGAGGATGCCGAGGGTTATTAATGAATCATGATTCGATCAGGGGCGTAACAAGCGCGATTCGTTGCACAAGGGGTGGAAGAGGGTCTGGCCACCGCCGGGCGAGGGAGGCGGTGGGCCAGATGCCGGATCCGCTGTGCGCGTTCGTCGGTCAGGGCGCGGCGCTGACCGCGGCGGCCTGGGCCGCGGCGGCGGCGAACACCGACGGCGGCGGACCATTCCTACCAGCGGCTCGGCGAGGGCCGGGGCGCGGCGTTGCGGGAGGCGTGGACGGCGGAGGCGGTGCGCACCGTGCCCGCGGAAAGGCGGGCGGCGGCGGGCGACGCCGACGAGCTGTTCGCGTACGCCCGTCCGCCCACGAAGAGGGAGAGGCTCGAGAGGGGCGAGCGGCGCGCCGAGCAGCACCAGGGGTGGGCCGATGCGCCGAAGGAGAAGAGGCGGAGGGCGGCGGAGGAGCAGACGGCGGCGCAGGCGGCGCTGCTGGCGCCGCTCGCGGCCGCGGACACCACGGCGTCGCTGGGAGGCGCGCCGATGCGGAGGCCGAGCGCCATCGTGGCGGCGGTGCTGCATCAACCCATCGCGGCGCCGGCGGCGCCGATGCTCGCGCCGCTCGGCTACCACATGAACAGGCAATGCGACGACGTGCTGAAGCGGTGGCGCGAGTTGAGTTCGAGCGGGAGATGAACCGGTTATCTGTGTGTAGAGGATATAGAGTGTAGAGCGCTGTAGAGCTGTAGACGGTTCCTGGATCGTGTTCGACGTCACGACGTGTGTCGTCGAACGCAACTTCGGAATGGCCGTAGCTCCTGGTCACGAGCGATTCAGAAGACGTACCAATTGTCGATTCTGTATAGAATTGCCAGGCGCATACGCTGGTGCAGGCGGCGAGTCGTCGATCCGACTCTATCTATCTGGCCCGCTGGGTGTGTCTCTACGCGTTTAATAAAATTAAGTTGGGGCCACAGGACGCGGCACAGATGGGGCACAAACGCCAGGCTGCAGGCGCGTGGGGGGCACGTAATAAGCACCTTTAGGAGCGGAGCCCTCTACTTGGCTATTAAAAAAGCAACGCGGCGTCGCCCGGGCGGGCGTCTCCGAGACAAAACAAACAATCTCTCCGTGTCGGAGCTGTGGTTCGCCGGCTACAAGAGGGGGCGGCGAGGGCGCGGCACCGACAGCAGCGCCTTTGAGCATGTGTTTGTGGGCGAGACGAGGGCGGGAACAGCCTGGTAATCGGCTCGCACTCTTGGCTCGCTTGGTACTTCTTCGAGAAGGAGGGGGTGCTCAACTACTACGGCTTCAAGCGGCCGCGCGGCAGGCGTAGCCGCAACGGCCACGAGTACGAAGGACCATTTGCTTACAGTGGACTTTGAGTTTCACGGCGCGCTGAAACCGGTGTCGACGGGCTTCGTGGGCACCTCCCCCGCGTTCGAGCTGTCGCTCTACACGCTCGCCTTCCTGTGCGGGCAGGAGGAGACGCTCTGCGAGCTCGGCGGCGTCGCAACCGCGATTCACGTGCACCGGCATCGCGGCGACCAAGATTGGCACCTGTCATCCCGAGGAGGCCGTGCGCCGGGACACGGACGGCCGTTTGTACACATATCTTGTACGGCTCGGATGCACCGGCTGCGTGGGCCGCAGCGGCGCACCCATAGTGTGCCGGTTGTGAATCGCGTGCACTGGTTCCCCTACTCTACGTGGTCCTCGCCTGTCAGGCCTACGGGTGGGGTCCGGCCTTAGCGCTTCGCAAGAGGCGAGCTCCTGACCGCTGGGTCCTGAGACGTGAGAGCTGAGACCTGAATCGGTGCCCTGGGTGTGCCACCAACGCTCGTGTTACGCAGTACTCAGACAAGAACCGGCCGCGCCGATAAAAACACACGATAAAAAACACGCACAGACACACACGTACGGCTTTACTGGGACACGGCACGGTCGACGACGGTAGACGGATAGAGAGCGAGACGAGCGGCGAGAGCCCCCGTTACTGTCGGCCGTCGACAACAGTTGTTGACGAAGACGTCGGCGTATCCCCTGAGGAGAATGAATCATACTTGTTACTACGGTAGATTAATGTCTGGATCATAGGGGGATTATAGTGGTCTCGCAGTCTCGAACGCTAGCCCGCCTCGCTATAGTTGCGTGCGGGGGCATGGCCGAGCAGGGGGGGTGGCTTGCGTTGGGGCAGCGGCGGGCTAGCAGGGGCGGCTTTGGCCCGGCGGCGGGCGGGACTAGCAGAGGGGTTGCTCCCACCGGCACTACTGCCCGTCTCGATCAGCAGGTGTAGGATGGCCCCAGGAGGTGGCGGGCTTGGGGTCGACCTGAGGCAGGGGAGAGGGTCCCCGGGGCAAGCCCGCCGTCACCGCTGCACGGGGACGCCATTTCCCACATCCAGTTGCGGTGTGGGGTGGTGCGGGGAGGGGAGGCAGTGCGGAGGGGGGCGGGAGGGGGGGGGGAGGCGCGCACCTCGATGCCATCGCCCACGTACCCCAGCTTGTCCATCGTCAGCGAGGCGAGGTTGGGGTTGTCCGTCACCTGTCGCGGTGGCGAGGGTCGCGGGGCTGGGCAGCGGTGCGGTGCAGGGCGGTGTGCGGGAGGGGAGGCAGTGCGGAAGAGGGGGAGAGGGGGAGAGGCGCGCACGTAGATGCCGTCGTCCACGGTCTTCAGGTTGTTCATCGTCAGAGAGGCGAGGTTGGGGTTGTTATACACCTGTCGCGGTGGCGAGGGCGCGGGGCTGGGCAGCGGTGCGGGTGTGGGGGTGTGCGAGAGGGGAGGCAGTGCGGAGGGGCGGGGGAGGGGGAGAGGCGCGCACGATGAAGTCGTACACGACCTCCAGGTTGTCCATCGCCAGAGAGGTGAGGTTGTTGTTGTCCGCCACCTGTCACGGTGGCGAGGGGCGCGGGGCTGGGCAGCGGTGCGGTGTGGGGCGGTGCGAGGAGGGGAGGCAGTGCGGAGGGGCGGGAGGGGGGGAGAGGCGCGCACTGAGATGCGTCCGCGCACGTACCGCAGGTTGGGCAGGTTGACGTCTCCGCTTGCGCCGCCGTCAGTCAAATCGAGCCTGTCGAGGACTGGGGCTCCACTCGAGGTCATGTTCATAGATTCCAAAGCATTGTTAATAGCAAAGGGGGGAAAAGGTACCCTCGACCCTCACGCCTGCAACCCTCGCGCGACAGCACACCACTGCTCCGCACGAGACACCGTGTTGCAGGACCAACCCCAAAACGCGACAGCGCACACAAATAGGGAGGGTGGGTGGGGAAGCAAGACAGGCCGTGTGGGGTGTGGGTGTCACGAGGACAGACGTCCACGAAGACGGTGGACGGACGCAAACTCCTTATCCGATTCACACTCACGGCTGTCCTACTGGTGATATAGAAAGTCGGCCGTCCGCGAGCCCCCAGCTCGCCGACGGCGAGAGAGATGCCACGAGGGGTCGCGGTGGCGTCCATCGCCAGGCTCCCTAGCTCAACCGACGACCCTCGTGCCTCGGGATCGACGGCCGATCGTCATGCCCCTCACCCCAGTACACCCCTGCTGAAGCGCCTCTTCCAGAGTGGTGTCTCCCTTGCACACAACGTCCTCGAGAGTCGGGGCGGGGGCAGCCCCGAGAAACTGGGCGGGGGCAGCCCCGAGAGTCGGGGCGGGGGCAAAGATCGGCCCGCGCCCGGTCGGCAGCGCCGGGATTGCGAGCAGAGCGAACAGCATGAACGATGTTGATCGAGTTCACTCGTACCTACGAGCAGGGTTGCACAATACGAGCGAGACTGAGCTGTATAGTGTATTATACGTATTGTATTGTATTGTTGTATTAATACGTATTGTATTATGGGTGGCGCGCGAGGCGGTCGAGGCAGGCGGGGCCGGCGGAGCGAGCGAGGCGGGCGAGTCGGTCGGGTCGACCGGGTCGACCGAGCCCGGCGCCCCCCCCCGCCCCCCCCGCACGCGGCCTCTGGGCGGTATGCGGCGCTGGCGGACCCGGAGGGTGCAGCACCGGAGGCGATGGAGCTCGACGAGGGCTGCGGCGGGCCGACGCTCTCCGGCGCCGGCTCGCCTCTCAAGGCATTCGGCGGGGGCTGCGCATGCTGCCCGGCTAGCGCCGACGCCTCGCCCGCCTGCGACCTCTGCCACGACGACGGCGCCGACAAGACGGCCGAGGAGGCTGCAGCGGCTGACGGCGGGCCTCCTGCTGAGGGCGCCGGCGGGGGGAGGGGGGGCAAGCGCCGCCGCCACAACAAACGCGGCGGAGCCGGCGGCGGCCGAGGCGGCGCGGGCGGTCTCCGCCAGGGCGGCGACGGAGGCGGCGGCGAGAGCGGCGGAGGCGGCGACGGCCGCAGCGACGGCGACGGCGACGGTGGCAGCGACGGCAGCGGCGGCGGCGGCGGCGGCGGCGGCGGCGGCGGCGGCGGCGGCGGCGGCGGCAACTAGGTACGGATTCTGACATCCGCTGGTTTTGTGTATTAAACGTATAATGTACTATAAGTGTTGTGTTAATGGAGGGCGGGCGGGGGGGCGGGAAGGACCCAGCTTCGGCGGCGGAAGACCACGGAGCAAAACAGGTGCGTCACACAAAAACACATCCCCGGACCCAGACGCACAAGCACAGACAGTCGAGAAGGGAGAGACAGCAACGACAGTCACAGAAGTCAGCGCTGGGTACCAGGAAGGAGAGAGAGAGAGATTTTTAGCAATACCAAACAACTCTAACACTCACACGTCATTTGGGGCCTGGAGCCCTGTTCACGCGCGCGCGAGACGTGCAGACAGGGTTGCCAGGTGAGAGCGAATGGCGCGGTTCACGCCTCGCACAACAGAGAGAGAGATGCGCTCTGTTGTTTGCCAGGAAGGAAGTCCACTGGACACCAGCGCGCGACGCGGACGAACCGCTCAATATGGCCGGCAGCTCGTGCTGTCGGCGGGGCCAAAGAAATACGTCTATTCACACCGGAACCGATTGCGGCGAGATCTCGATCAAAGACCGTTGTGCGTGTACAGGTCGTGGGAGCAGTCGCTGCCGGAGCAGGTGACGAGCCCGTAGGATTCCTAAGCGGCGGCCAATCGCCAGCGAACGCCGGCCGCGGAGAGAGTGCTGGGCCCACCACGCGGTGCTGGTCCAGCGGCGGCCCGGTACGGGCAGAGGAGCGGGGGCGGGGGCGGGGGCCAAAAGAAAATACGTCCCATTCACACCGAATGCCGCGAGATCTCGATGAAAGACAGTCGCCGCAAGAACGACCGCCTCAATGGCGACACATGATTGCCACGAGATTCCTCCGCGCCGCCGCTCTGCTGTTCGCTGCAGCGGCGCTGCTGTTGATCGGCCTCGGCCACCAATCTCCCGCGGGCACGCGCAAGGCCGAGGCCGAGATGCGGCCCGTCAAGTCGGCCGAGCTGCGCCGCCTCGTCGCCAGAATTGCAACGGCTGAACCGACGGGAGAGGCTGCCGCTGACGCGCTGGAGAAGGGCAGGGCGGCCGAGGAGGCGGCCGAGGAGGCGGGGGCTGCCGCCGCCGTGAAAAGGGCGCTCCAGGCCGACCTGTCGCCTGCTTCACCGCCGTCACCGCCGGCGCCGCCGCCGCTGCCTCCGTCTCCGCCCGCGTCTCCGTCTCCGCCTCCCACGCCGTCGCCGCCGCCGCTCCCGCCGTCGCCGCCGCCGCTCCCGCCGTCGCTGCCGCCGTCCAGGCTGCCTCCACTCGCGGCTCCGCCGCCGCCTCTCTTCGGCTTTCTGTCAAGCGCAGCCGATCGGACCAAGCCGACGCAGCCGATCAGTCTTGGCCCTCGCCGGCTGAATGAAGGCCCTCCGCCACCTCCGCCGCCTCCGCCGCCTCCGCCTTGTGATATCGTTGTCATCGTCGTCGTCATCGTCGTCGGCGTCGTCATTGTTCTGGCTTTCGTCGTCGCATTAGTGGCGATCGTGATTTGGGTACGCTGCCCTTCCTGGCTACCGTGCTGCCCGCAGCCTTGCCCCGTGTGCCCCCCGCCGTGCCCCAAGCCGTGCCCCCCCCCGTGCCCCCCCGACCCGTGCCCCCCCGACCCGTGCCCCCCCGACCCGTGCCCCCCCGACCCGTGCCCCCCCGAGCCGTATGCCTCGATTACTGACATTCCCGAGCCGGGTCCCTCCAAGCCGTTTGACATGCCCGGATCGTCCTTGACCTTTGTCATCTAGAAGGCATTGTCCGAGACCTCTTTCCCACTGTGCCTTAATCCCCCCGCCCCGCCCCGCGCCCCCCGCCGCGCCCCGCCGCACTCCTCTCTTGTCCGCCCTTTGCTTTTCCCTCCCTCGATAGCGTCGTGCGGTGGGGGCTGCGGCTGGGGCGTGGGGCCCGCGCGCCGCGGCAACGTACGTGTGTGCTTTTCTGTGAACAGCGAAAGTGAGCCGGGGTTTCTGTGAGAACTAAAAAAGTAAATGGCCGCAAGGAGGGCGAGCTTGTTTGTGTCTGTGTGTCGCTCACGTGCGCGTGTGCCGTCATCATCTGTCCGGCGTCCACCCATACCGCGTTGGTGTCCAGTCCGAGCACGAGTATATGGGACAAAAGCGTCGAAAATGTCCCAAAAAATCTGTGGTCCACCGAGTGTGCCGAACCAACTGGAGCGAGTAGGCTCGACGCCGCGCTTGCTGTGGAGCTGCAACAAACTCGCCGCCGAGCGTGCCACCGAAGGCGTCCCGGCGGAGGTGATGGAGTTTGAGACCTGAGGCTGCGGAGGTGACGCCTGAGGTACCGGCCCGTGCACAGCGACTCAGCAGGCGACCGCCACGGGCTCAGACGAGACCTGTCGACGCGTTCCGGCTCAGCTTCACCGTGGCACGGATCCGTGGTCATCGGGCGTCTGTCGACGTCAGGACCACCCATACAGCTCGCGGGTTTGAGGTCGCAAGAGCCAAGATGGTGGCGTTTGGACATCCCAACCATCACACAAGACAGCCTGTAGGTGATGGCGGGACGGCGCAGTGTTTGTGGCACTCGGCAGTAGGCACCCGCGGCACGGCCCCGCTGTCGGCTCTCGCGGGCTGCGGAACCGGCCCCAGAAGGGGACGGTCCGGGCGAGTGTGGCAGCTCCTGCGCTAGTATGGGCACCCTCTATCACAACACTACTGATCCTGGTCATTAGAGCTGCCAGGGATAGCGTCAGGAGCCGGTAGGAGTCAAAACCCCTCATATTTGAGACATCGTGTCCCATATACTCGTGCAACAAGCCTGTTCTTCACCTTTCTACCTACCTACCTACCTAGGGGCAGGGGGAGTCTCACACCCTCTCTATCTCTCCCTGAGTCTCTCTCGCACACTTGCAAGAGCGCATATCAACAATTCTGCGCTGCATTGCCAGTGGTACCGCCGGGCGCTTGCTCTGCCTTCGGAGGCTTTACGCTTCCTTGGCCGTGAGGAGAAGCCACCTTGAGGGCGACGCAGGCAGCAAGGCATAGGCAAGCGACGGCGGCGGCGGACGCTCCGGCGGCGACGGAGATCACGAAGGAGGCACTGTCATCGCCTCCGTCGAGGATGGCCGGGGGTGCGCTAGGCGGGTGCGGCGGCGGGTGCGGCGGCGGCGACGGCGGCGGCGGAGAGGATGCCGAGGGAGCAGGCACGGACGAGTAGGGGAGCAGGAGCTTAGCGCCCGTCACCCACTCGCCACCCCGCTCAAGCGGGTAGGTGATTGCGCAACCCTTGTCGTCATAGTCGCGTCTGCCGCTGACGAGGATACCAACCATTTCGCGCCTCTCAATGTCGAAGACGCCCGACCCGGACGAGCCGACGAAAGTGTCCAGATTCGTCGCGAAGCGGAAGGCGTCCGTCCCCGACTGCATCACCTCGTTGACCTGTGCGTCACCGGCGTACTTGCGCGGGAGGTCGTCCGGGTGGCCGATGCACATGACGGGGGTCCCGATCGTGACCTCAGTGCTTGCGACGCGGACGGGTGAGGCGACCGAGTCGGGGACGCTCCGGTCCAGCCGTACCACGGCCCAGTCCTTCCCCCCCGTCGACTCTGAGATCTCGACAGAGGCGCACGAGTAGCGGAGGTCGGCAGCAAAGCGAGTGCCAAAGACCATCGCGTCACTGGTCGCGCCAAAGACAAATGCGAGCCTGCCGCAAAGGTGAGGCTTGATGCAGTGCCCTGCGGTGGCCACCTTGTTTGGAGCGATCAGCGTGGCGGCGCAATGGCCCGGCGTGGGCTGGCCGCTGAAGCGCAACGGCGTGCCGTCGCAGTCGCCGTGCTTGTCGTGGAGACTTTGTTCGTACTGGAAGACGCCCTGGCTGTCAAACACTCGATTCCCCTGTGTGTCGTAGATCATTGCGACGGCATCGCCGATCAGAGTCCACTCTGGTGGCATTGCACTGTGCTCCTGTCGTGAGTCGGAGCCGTAGATCGCCTTGTTGGCGATGTTTCCCGTCGAGTCGACGGGCGTCGTGTCGACATCCGGAATCGGAAGCGCGGGCTGCGACAGCAGCAGGAGCGACGGTGGCGGTGGCGACGGCGACGGTGGCCGCGGCGGCGGCGGAAGTGGCAGCGGCGATTTCGGCGCCGAGTGGAACGCGAATAGACTTGTCGACGACATCCCTGCGACTCGGCCAGAGATCCGCGTGCCACCAAACGTCGAAGGCCAAGCAGCCCTTTGGAGTCCTTGTGCGAGACGCGCTCGCACCCTCCAGCATTTCCGGCATAAAAAATTCCGCGGGTGGGCACACAGCCAGGAACCCGGGACCGCCGCGCAGCGGCGCAGAGCGCGCAGCGCGCGGTCGACACCGAGTTTGAAAGATCTGTTTCTCTACGTCTCTCTTCACAGGAAAATCCTGTGAAGAAAAGCGGAGAAAAAAAGAAACCTTTTCTGCCTCGGCCTTAGCCGTCGGTACTCCGAAAGCGTGCTATCCAAGTAGCACGCAGCCGGGTCCCGAAGGTGTCCCATCCCAAATTCGTGCCGTCGACAGACCAGATTTCGCAGAGATATTTCTTTCTCTCCCAGATTCGAGATTTTTAGCAATACCAAACAAGTTGTTTGTCAGATTCGTGGTCCCTTCGTCCCTTGGAGAGTTTTGGAGGGGGGGTTTTTTAGGTTGTTTTTTTGTTTTTGTTCCCTTGTTGGTCGACTACACCCACCCGCCTTTGGGAGACAGAGATTTGTTTGTTTGTTGCGCCTTTGGACGGTAGCCCGACACAATACATTTCTCATTTGTCTGTCTTTTTGGATTTTTGGTTCGTCTGGGTAAGGGTTTTGCAAGAAACCTCCTCACCACTGCGAACGAACACTGTCTTGCTCGTAGGAGCCGTTCATCCTTTGTTTGTCCGAGCAAACGCGCGCCCGATCACCCCGTTGAGCACGTGTGCCGGGTATCCGAGCGCCATGAACTCCCTGAGTTTGCTCGTCACGCTGAGCGCGAACCCCTCGTCATCGCTCGCCATAGCACTCACCTTGAGCAGGCATCCAACGAACACAACTATTCCCTCTCTCTCTCTGTTGTTTTGTTGTCTCTTTCATCTTCGAGATTTTTAGCAATACCAAACAACTCTAACACTCACACGTCATTTGGGGCCTGGAGCCCTGTTCACGCGCGCGCGAGACGTGCAGACAGGGTTGCCAGGTGAGAGCGAATGGCGCGGTTCACGCCTCGCACAACAGAGAGAGAGATGCGCTCTGCATGGTGGGACATAAAAGAAAGCGAGTACTTGGGCGAGTAGGCCGTGCGGTCGACGCTGCCGCGCGCGACCTTGCGCGCGAGGCGGCGCAGCTTGAGAACGGCGGTGGGCGAGAAGCCGCCGCCGAATGTCTCGTGGAGCAGCAGGTTGAAGTTGTTGCGCTTGACAAAGATCGCGTCGTGGTAGAAACCGCGATGCGCCTTGACGTAGCCGTGGCCGTTCTTGTGGTCGAAGGGTTGGCCGGGCTGCCCGCGCGCCTTTTGTTTTGTTCATCTTCGCGCATGTGAAGCTATCCCAGCGATGGTAGCGCCACACCCGAGGGTCTCTCTCGCAGCCCTCATTGACGTTCTTGAGTCTCGTCCGGAAACCTCCGTTCGCGTCGAGCTCGAGAGCCGTCTCTAAAAAATGAAAAAAAATAAGACTCTAAAAAATGAGCGTTTTCGGCTGCCTCCAGCTACACGGCACGCTACGTTCCCATCACCCAATAATGGTGCGAGCCGGCGCGGCACGGCGCGAGATCCGCCAGGCCAAGCGGGCGATCGCGCGCGCCGAGAGCGGCAAGAAGAAGGGCAAGCGCATCGCCAAGGCCGACGTGCCACGGCGGACCGCCAAGCGCGGCGCGACCGGACTGCGTGCGCCGCCGCTCCCTGAGAAGCAGGCGGCGGCCAAGAAGCGGCCAGAGGCGGAGCCGGAGCCCGTCGACGAGATGGAGCCGCGCTTCACGGACGCTGAGAAGAAGCTGCGCGCCTTGGAGAAGAAGCTGCGGGCCGTCAAGGCGATCCGGGCGCTCGTCGCTCGCGGCGTCGAGACTGACGCGCAGCAGCAGTCGAAGCTGCGCTCGGAGAAGGCGCTGCTCGCGCAGCTGGAGTCGATACGGGCGGAGGTGCAGGCAGAGGAGGCGGCGGATGGCGGCGGCGGCGGCGGCGGCGGCGGCGGCGGCGGCGGCGGCGATGACGACGACGAGATGGTCGTGATGACGGCTGCGCTGGCGAGCACGCTCAACCAGCGAGGTGCTCCGTCCGGGAAAGGGCCTTCTAGCGGCGCTGAGGCCGCGAGAGGTGCCGCCGCGGCGGCGGCCGCAGAGGAAGAGGAGCCGCCGGATGCGCCCGGCGCTACGGGGGACGACGAGGACATGAGTGGTTTGAGCAAGCTCGAGCAGCGGCGGCGGCTAAAGAAGCGAAAGCACCTCGACAAGGTTCGTGCGAGGCAGGAGTCGCTGCTGCAGAGGGAGGCGCGAGACTCGGAGGCTCGAGCAGCGCGTATCGCGCTCGCCGCCGCGCCGGCCGCCAAGCGCGGTCGGTCTTAAACCCTCGATTGCGGGCTGGCCGGAGGGCTCTGGTGCGCCCCACTCCGTCTTATGTCTATGTGTCTACCCCACTCTATTCGCTCGCTGAATTGTTTTACTGTTGACACCACTTCGCCACCTCCGGCACGTACTTGTACACGCGCCAGTCCGGGCCGAGACAGAGAGACTCCCCGCCCGCGCCGACGTGGCACGTGCGCGGCTGCGGGACGAAACCTCGCGAAACTCTCGGCCGGTGGGGTGTCGTTGAGGGCTCGAGTGCGTCGTCTGTCTCGCTGACGGTCACTCTATGGACCGTCGCTCTGACGCAGCATGTGTGACACCTGTGTGGCACTTGGTGTGGCTATGGCGCTGTCGCGGGGACGTCCCCGGCATCCGTCCGCTGACCCCTACGAACATTGACGCAGGAGGACTGCTGACAGAGGAGCGACGCCGAAGGGTCTCGATTTTCGGTCGGGGCATCGTAAAAGAACTTTGCCGAGCAAAGCACCCCACACACAGACCTACGTAGGCAGTACGCGCGAATTCTGGCCGATAAGAACTCATCGCACGCCAGCGCAACGTGGATCAACATTCAACCCGTGTTGCGATTGGGCTTTGGGCACACCCCACGTCACAGTAATGTCGCTTGCGAGATTTGCCTTCGCTGTCCTCATCGCGCCAACGGGTGCGCTAGTGGTCAAGCCAGATCGGTCAGTGAGAGCAGAAGGCACACGTGCTCTAGCCACTCGAGCCTTCGCCGCAGCAGCCGCGGCAGTGATCGCAGCACGATCTGTCGACGCAAAACCACCGCCAGCCGCGTTCTCGGTTGTGGTGGAGACCGAGCAGCGATCGTTGAGCAGCACGCTGTTGGCCAAGCAGACGTCTGACTGGACTGCGGCGGACTTCGATTGGGTCAGCATCACCAAGAACATTGGCCAGCCGCCAGCTCCGCCGCCACCGCCGCCGCCGCCGCCACCTCCGGTGGATCCAAAGGCTGAGGCTGCCGAAAAGAAGGCGGCCGTCGCCTCGGCGGACCGGGCTCGCGCGGAGAAGAGGCTGGCGGACGACACGGCTCGAGCGGAGAAGAGGCTGGCGGACGACAAGGCTCGAGCGGAGAAGACTCTGCTGGACAACAAGGCGAGGGCCGAGAAGGAGGCGGCCAGGCAGCAGGCGGCCGAGAGGAGGGCCAAGACGAGCAACGGCGCCCGCGCCTCCAAAGGCGGGGCTCGGGCCCCGGCTCCGGCGCCCCCGCCCCCACCTGCCCCACCGCCTCCGATCACCGACTGGACTGGCCCCAACTTTGACTGGAGCCAGCTCGGCGGCGGCTCGACGCGGGCGCCGAAAGCCGCAAAGCCAGCGGCAGAGGCCGAGGGTGAGGAGAAGGCCAAGGCTGCGGCAAAGAAGGAGGAGGAGAAGGCCAGGGTGGCGAAGAAGAAGCAGGAGGAGGCTGAAAAGGCGCCGCGGACTCCCTCGCTGCACAAAAAGCGGCCCCGCCCCCAACCTCCAATGCGCTGGCAGCACGCCACCACCGCCTGAGCAAGAGCCATAGTGCCTCTGCCGCAGGCAGCTAAGGACGCGGCCGCGAAGGAGAAGGCAGCGACAGAGAGGGCAGCCAAGGCGGGCGCAGCGTCGGGACGGCCGGGGAGAGGATTAGAGGTGGAGGGTTGCTCACAGAGCGTGAGGCGCATTTGCTTTAGGCAGAGACGGACAAGGCGGCCAAGGAGTCGGCAGCAAGGGAGGCAGCAGAAACTAAGGCTGTCCGGGAAACGGCGTCGGCTCAGGTAGCTCTAAACACAGCTAAGTAGGCTGCCGGCGCGTGCACCAATGAACGGCTAATGCCATAAAACCCTCCCGCAATAGGCCAAGGAAGAAGCGGCGGCGAAGGCCGCGGCGGCGAAGCAGGAGGCGGCGGCCAAAGCCAAGGAGAAGGCTGCGGCCAAGGCGGCGGCTGCCGAGAAGGAGAAGGCGGAGTCCCAGGAGAAGCTTCGCGCTGCGGGGCGACTGTGAAAGTGAAGAGTCGGGTTCGTCTCTTACTATCGGCCGGGCGCTCCACCGCTCTCGGCTCTGGGCGTCCATTCTCTCCAGAGAGATACACCTGTAGTACGTTGTCGACAAACTTGCATACTAGTATATAAAACAGACGGGGTGCGAGAGGCAAACCTCGGACAGCCCAATTCACCACCACTCCTAAAACAATCAATAGAAAAATCACCAAATACCGGTATATGATCCCGGTAAATGTTGCACACTCACCAGATTGAACGGAGCAGTCTTCTGCCCTATTACGCCCCTATGTCATTCGCATCATCAAAGAAAGAAAGAAAACAGACAACCCAAGGGAGGGATGGGAGGACGGCACACACATTCGCATCATCCACAGCATCTAAAGGAGCACTTGGAGCACTTGGAGTGCAGTCGGTAACCTCACATCCAGGGCCGAGGAGAAGCGCACCCAGCGGGCCGGATGGTCGGTATCGGGCTACGGGCTAGAGAGCCCTGACCCCTAGCTAGGGGGGGGGCGCGCATTCGCAGGGCAAGGGCCTTAAAGTAAACACGGGTCTCCGAGGGTTAGTTCTGCGCTTTGGGTGTCCCCTAGCGGCGGAACGCCCCCTCTACTCGGAGCTAGTGGTGCGCGTTCGCAGGGCCATTTGGAATCGATTTTTTGTTTTTCCCCCCCCAAGCGCTCCTTTGCGGCTTGCTCCCTTCGCGCGCGGCACCAGGGCGTGGCGCTTTGCACTCTCGCTGCTTCCGCCGCCTGGCACGCACCCGCCGATATCCGGCATGGGAGGCGGCCTTAGCTTGTTTGGCGGGCGCGACGTTCGCCTGCTCGTCGCCGGACTGGACGCCGCCGGCAAGACCACCGTTCTCTACAAGCTCAAAAACGGCCCCAAGCGCGCCGGCACCGCAGTCAACACCATCCCGACGCTCAACTTCAACGTGGAGACGTGCCGGATGAAGAACATCAAGTTCAGCATCTGGGACGTCGGCGGACAGGACAGCATCCGGCCGCTCTGGCGCCACTACTTTACCGGGACGCAGGGCCTGATTTACGTCGTCGACACAAACGACCGCGCGCGCATAAAAAAGGCGGCGGAGGAGCTGCACACGATGGTGGCGAACAACGAGATGCGGCACGCGTGCGTGCTAATCTTTGCAAACAAGATGGACCTGCCGCACTCGCTCGACATTGACGAGCTCACCAGCGAGATGCAGCTGCAGCTGCTCGAGGGCCGGCCGTGGCACATCCAAAGGTCGTGCGCCACCACCGGGGAGGGGCTGTGGGAGGGGCTGCGCTGGATGGCGGCGAATGTAAAGGACTTGTGACGCAGAGCCATGTGAAGGATGTCCTGAGAGTGTTGGGGCCCCCGCGCGCGCCGGCCGCCGCCGCCCGCGAGTGCGGAGAGGCAGAGGTTCGTGCGTCTATCGTGCGCATGATGCATCGTTACGTGTCGCGGGCGCCCCGCCGCGTCGCGCGGGCCTTTCGTTGTCTATTTTTGTCATATGTACCGTGAATCGTTCTGCCCGACGACGCGCCGAAACGCGAAAGTGGATAAGCGATACCGATAACCGACTACTGAGTGTAGAGAAACTACTCAAGAGGAAGAGCCCGCGCGCCGCGCGCGCCGCCAGCCCGCTCCGCTCTCGCGGCGCTCCGCCGCGCGAAGCGACCTGGTGCCCAACTATACCAGTCCCCGGACGTGCATGCGGATGTACAGCAGCCTGGGCGCGGCCGCACGCCACCGCCGCCCCCTGCCGCTAAAGGGCAGTCTGCGCAGGGCGCCGGGCAGCAAAACAGACTGAGAAAAGGCGCGCGCCGTCAGCAGATGCACGCTGCGCGGTGGCAGTACGGGCACTTCTTCTTCTGGGCCTTGTTCTCCTCCTTTACCCTGGCCGACTCCGTCGCACGCCGTTTGCGCCGCTCCTGTGGGCGGGTGGCGAAGGGTGTGTGAAGGTGGCGACAGCGGCGGCGACGGGAGCCGTGGCGAGGGAGGCGGTTGCGAGGGAGGCGGAGAAGGAGGCGGCGAGGGAGGCGGCGAGGGAGTGACGGAGAAGAGGCGGCGGAGAGAGGAGGTGGCGGAGAGGGAGGTGGCGGAGGCGGGGGTGGTGGCACCTCTTCTTCGGCATCAAACTCCTTGAAGCCTCCGCCAAAGCCGTCTCGCTTGGTGCCCTGCAGCAGAGGCGGTGGGGAGGGTGGAGGAGAGGAGGGCAGCGAGGAGGGGTGGGGAGGGCGGCTGGAGCGGAGGCGAGTGGTCAGGAGACAGAGGAGAGGAGAGGAGAGGGGGTAATAGTAGGCGAGGGGAGAGGGTGGCAAGGCAGAGGAGAGGAGGGGAGGGGAGAGAGCACCGTCGCACTCCCCTTGACAAGCATCACACCCTCCTTCGCCGCGTGACATTGGTTGCACTCCTTGCGCCGCGCCCAGTTCCAGTTGCCGCACGAGGCGCAGTGCCAGTCCCCGACGCTCGGGTCGATGTTGGGCGGGTGCCCGATCCCCTTGCCGCTGCCGCCGCCCTTGCCCTCGCCCGAAAAAGATGGCCCGCCGCCGCCGCCGCCCCGCCCCATCGGGATCAGATCGCCGCCCCTGCCGCCCCCGCCCATACCGCGGCCGCGGCCACCCGGCGGCTCCCACACATGAGGCCTAACCTGCTCGGCTCGTATTCCCTTTGCCTCCAGCTCCGCGCGGATCTGATCAGCGAGGCCAAAGTTTTTTGACCTCTTCGCCGCCACCCACTTTTCGAGCTTGGCCTCATCAGCCTGCGACAGCTCCGCCATCGCACCACAGCAACCGCGGCGCGAGTAGCTAGGGCCAGAGGAGAGTGCTGAGCCACCGCGCCTGGCGCGTGAGCTTTGTGTTTTTCTTTGAGCTTAGCCTTTCGATGGAAAAAAACAAACGCAACGCGGACATGGCATATCGCTCTCTTTACGATTCTGTCGAGGGAGGGAGCAATGCGATTGACTGTTCTTCACCTTCCTACATACATGTGATTTAAGGGTCCGCCCGCAGGCGCATTTTGAGAGAGATTTTTAGCAATACCAACTGCGATCTCAGGCCCAGTGAGGTAGTGCGCCAGCCTAACCCGGATCCTGCTGAACAAGCTCCTCTTGTAGCTCGATCGGTCACACCGCCATCGCCGTTGGGGAGAGAGGGGACGACACTGCTTCGGCAGCGTGCACCTCGATCCGGTACCGTGTTTGTTATGACCCCCCCCAATGAACATACCAGTGAGGGAGGGCGAGACGATCGAGGGGTCCCGTACCACGCGGAATCGGCCCTATCCAGTGCTCAAGTGCTCAACAAATCTAACACTCACACGTCATTTGGGGCCTGGAGCCCTGTTCACGCGCGCGCGATGTTTGTGTGTTGCATTTTGTATACCGAGGCGGTGCCCGGTGCCTGTCGGACCTTATCCTTAACGCTTAAGACACAGCAGACGCGCAGGGCGAGACGAGGGAGGGAGCAGGACTTTGCGGAGATCAGCAGGAGGATGTACGAAGAGATTAGGAGCAGCAGGGACCCGAGGGACCATGTGGAAGACGGCTAGTGCTAGTCCCCCATCGTGAGGACGACCCCGGCTCTGGGCCGGCGCGGGGGCCCCCGGCCCACACCGTGCGCCGCGCAGCAGTGCGGAAACGGGGCTCCGGCTCTATGAGTCTCTATGAGCACCGACTTCCCGATCTAACCTGGTCTAACAGAGGGCAGATTTGGAGAGATCTCGAGGAGTACATACAGATAGACCCTCCAACCATCTGAGAAAACTCCAACCTAATCGGTCGTACTGACCGCCGACAGATCACTCCAGACAGCAGACAGGCCGACGTCTGCACGCGGCCGGCCGGGCGAGAGGCTTGACACGATCCGACCCTGCGAGACCCTGACGCTGCTGCTCTAGCTATCAGACATGCACTGCTGACTGCTGCCACAATGTGCGACCGGTGCTGGCCCACTTGGCGGCCTTCCCGGTCAGTGGTGAGGCGCAGTTCAGAGCTGTCGATGGCGCGATGCCGCACTGGTCCCACATTGGTGACACGAGACCACCAAGTTTGCCGGTCCAAGAGAGAGGCACCGGCGCTGTCCTGAGAAGGTGCGTGGTCCCTCTTGACTGCCCATGCGCGCGAGGCTGTGTAGGCATAGCCTCGAGAGTGCCAGCAGCCCATCCGAGGTGACGCGCATTGCGCCAGAAGCGTGCACGCAGCTGGAAGGACACCTTCCTACTGGCCGTACGATCAGGTCGTCTGAATGCTTAATACTAAGGCCGCGAGCTATGCAGGTGATCAATTGTGCATCATGGCACGGTCAGCTGCGCCGACAGGCTGTCGCAAGGCGTGATAGCATGGCCGCAAGTACGCCGAATTCCCATGAAAACAAGTAAAAAATCGCGAAAAAAGAAAAAACTCCGAAAAATCGGCGCCTGCGGCGGGCCATGGGACCCCATCTCCCCCCCGCATGGACACCCTCTGGGCCCCCCGCGCCGGCCCAGAGGACCCCGGCTAGTCGCCGACCACACCCTCACACCACACACCCACATTGAAATCAAAAAGTTTAAAAGAACACCCGACAAAAATCGCACGGGCGGCGGGACCTGTTGTTGTTGTTCCTCTTTTTACCCATCTCCTACGTGTCCTAGAGAGGTGTTTTATTATTTATTTATTTCGAAGCAACAAACGGCCAACAACGCAGTCAGCCGCATTAACGACGCCCGCGGCTATGCCTCCGTCCTTACACCCACCCTCTCCCCCAGCCCCGCGCCATCCAACGCCTCCTGGTGGCGCGAGGCGCGAGCAGCAGTGCCGATTGCGGGGCGTCGCGCCCCCTCCCCGAACTCCCCCCCCCCCCCCCTTCTCGCCACCCACCGGGCCGGCGGCCACTGTGGCCGCGAGCGCTATAGCCGACCGGAAATCAGCCCTCGTGCCTTTGCCGCCCCGTCAGTCGGTGGCGCGGCGCGGCAGCCCCGCGGGCGGCGCGTACACGCGAAACACCGGCGGCGCGTCCGAGGCGGTGGCGGCGGGGTGGCGGCCCGAGGCCTCCCACTCCTGCATAGCGCTGAGCGACTGGAGCTGCAGCCGCTCCCGCTCCTGTGCGGCCACGGGGGCAATCGAGCGGTGTGAGGGAGGTGGAAGCGGGTGGGAAGGGGCGTGGCTCGTGGCGGGGCGAGCCCCACCAGCAAGTCTTCGCGCTGCTTGCGGAACTTGGCCACGACGGCCGCCGCCTCGCGCGCCGCCGTCGCCGGCGCCGCCGCCTCGCCCCGCGCCGGCGTCTGGACGCGCGCGAGCTCCGCCTCGAGCAAGTGGTTGAGCCAGCGCCTACTCGTTCGCGCAAGAAGGGCTCGCCCCTTCCGGAGTGCGAGGGCGGACGGAGCCGATCCCGCAAGCGGAGAGGCGCCGCTGGATGCGCAGCTCGGCGAGCGCGGCCGCCTGCGTCCCGATCGCCTCCGACGCCGTCAGCCGGCGCGCTGGCGGCGGCAGCGGCGCCGGCGCCACCGCCGGCGCCCCCTCCGCGGCGTCTGCAGCTGCGGCGCGAGGGACGCCGACAGGCCTGCGAAGCGGAGACAAGGGGGAGGGGGGGGGGGGGGTGAAGGCGCGCGTCCCACGCAACGGCCTGCAGCCTCGACGGGCCACGGTTTCGGGGGGGGGGGAAGCCCTCCTCCAATGGGGTGAGTGCAGCCCCAAGAAATTCGCCCGAAATGGGACCTTGTCAACCCCCCCTCCCCCACTTTACAATGTGGGCTGGGGCGTGGAACCCCGGTTTTACCCCAAGGGGCATTCCCGGGGAAAAAAGGCCCCAAAA